CCGGAATCGAACCTGGGACCCTTCAGTCCGCAGGCCGACGCTCCATCCACTGAGCCAAACCAGCCAGGGCGAAAGGTGACTTTTTTTTATATCTATGTCAAGTAGTCTATAATTTAAATGCAAATGAACCCATTTATAGAAATTAAGGCAGGTAATAAGAAAAGTCTAAAGTTACTTTAAAAACTGAGGATTGCCCTAACCAGTTTGACTCAGTGGATAGAGCGTCGGCCTGCAGACTGAAGAGTCCCAGGCTTGACTCCGGGCATGTACCTTGGTTGCGGGCACATCCCCAGCAGGGGGTGTGTAGTGCAGTCTTTTTTTTAAAAAAATCAAAATTGATCCAAAAAAAATCCCCAAGGAACAAAATATCAAAATTCTGCATAAAGACAGGATCCTTCCTGCACTTGTGAGTCCTCACTGCGCCCGGGTCCCGGCTGCTGTTGGAGACAGTCCTGCTGCCAGGGCCACCTCAGGGCATGAGATTTGGGCAGAACCCATGGAGCCTGTAGCTCTTGTCCCAGTGCCTATTCCTGGGGCAACCCAGTGCCTACATATGAGGAGCTGCCCTTTTCTCTTATGTACAAAGAAGGGAACACAAATGTCCTGGGGCTGCTGCAACAAACGGCCACAAACCAGTTGGCTTAAAACAACCGAATTTATTCTTTTGTGGCCTGGAGGCCAGAAGTCTGAAACCAAGGTGTCAGCAGGGCTGTGCGCCTGCCTAAATTTCTCAGGGAGAACTTTTTTCTTATTTTTGCCAGCTCCTGGGGGCTCCAGGCATCCTTGGCTTGTGGTTGCATCACTCCAATCTCTAGCTTTGTTGTCATATCATCTTTTCCACTTTTGTTTGTGTCAAATCTCCCTCTGCCTGTCTCTTATTAAAAACTAGAGCAGCGGTCGCCAACCTCACTGGTGGTCCGGGAGGTCCGAAAGGTTGGTGACCGCTGGACTAGAGGCCTGGTGCATGGATTCGTGCACTGGTGGGGTCCCTCGGCCTGGCCTGCGGGGATCGGGCTTGAAACCTGCTCTCCGACATCCCCCAAAGGGTCCCAGATTGCGAGAGGGTGGTTCTCGGGTGATGCATCCCGGAATCGGGCTCCCTCCTCTCTGGTTCTGGGTGCGTCACCCGAGAACTGTGGCTGCCAAGTCACCACAGCTTGGCAGCTCCTGCGTTGAGCGCCTGCCCCCCTGGTGGTCAGTGTGCATTATAGCTACTGGTCAGAGTGTCTGCCCCCTGGTGGTCATTGTGTGTCATAGCTACCGGTTGGATGGTCAGACTGTTGGACAGTCGCTTAGGCTTGTATATATATATATACACTAGTGGCCCAGTGCACGAAATTTGTGCATGGGAGGGGGGTGTCCCTCAGCCCGACCTGCACCCTCTCCAATCTGGGACCCCTCAGGGGATGTCCGACTGCCGATCCCTGTGGGATCGGGCCTAAACCGGCAGTCGAACATCCCTCTTATAATCTGGGACAGCTGGCTCCTAACCACTCACCTGCCTGCCAGCCTGCTTGCCCCCAACCGTCCCCCAAATC